CACACACACACACACACACACACACACACACACACACACACACACACCCCTTATTGAACATGAATAAACATATTTAATGGATTGAATGAATGAATAAAAGTTGAACCTATAAACATTGAAATGGCTCCACAGGAGGAGCTGCTGACGGCGTCAACCACTTCCTGTACTGACAGCCAATCACGGCTCAGCTTGAAGACGTCCCTCCGCTCCTCTGACTCGGTCATCTGAGACAGAATACATCAAAATAATTAACATTCATATTTCTTGATATATCATTAGAACGTATTAAATATTGATCCAAGAGGTTTTAATCATTAAATAATATGATAATGTTCTCAGGGTGTTTTTTAGACTTATTCATGTTGAAACACAAACATTCCTGTTCATGGATCTGAAACATTTGATTGGTTCATATGAATAACTGACTCCTCCTCTTTATCCTCCGCTGAGCGGCGGCACCACGGCGACCTCGTCTCCGTCTCCCAGAGTCACCACCTGGTCACCGATGGCAACGTACTGATGACGCACCGCAAACACCACCTGATCCTGGAGGAGGAGTCTACACACACACACACACACACACACACACACACACACACACACACACAATTGTGAATAAATGTCTCAGTCCAGACAAAGATCTGATCAGAAGTATTGATGAGAATCAATCAGCAGCGTCACGTGTCGTCGACCTTTATGTTGTGGATGTTGATGTTGTTGATGTTTACGTTGTTGATGTTCATGTTGTTGACGTTGTTTATGTTGATGTTTATGTTGTTTATGTTGATGATGTTTATGTTGCAGTGGACGACCTTTAGTGACCTCATCTCGGTACCTCGGGTGTCGCTGTAGCAACAGGCTCCAGAGGTCCCGGCTGCTGATTGGTGTCGGCACGGCAACAATCTCTTCCTTCACTCCGGTCAGCTCCACGCTCTTAGCGAAGTACAACACACACACCTGAAGAAGAAGTACAACACACACCTGAAGAAGAACAACAACAACACACACACACACACACCTGAAGAAGAACAACAACACGCACACCTGAAGAAGAACAACACGCACACCTGAAGAAGAACAACACGCACACCTGAAGAAGTACAACACACACACCTGAAGAAGTACAACACACACCTGAAGAAGTACAACACACACCTGAAGAAGAACAACAACACGCACACCTGAAGAAGAACACCACACACACCTGAAGAAGTACAACACACACACCTGAAGAAGAACAACACACACACCTGAAGAAGAACAACACACACACCTGAAGAAGAACAACACACACACCTGAAGAACAACAACACGCACACCTGAAGAAGAACAACAACACGCACACCTGAAGAAGAACAACAACACGCACACCTGAAGAAGAACAACAACACGCACACCTGAAGAAGAACAACACGCACACCTGAAGAAGAACAACACGCACACCTGAAGAAGAACAACAACACGCACACCTGAAGAAGAACAACAACACACACACACCTGAAGAAGAACAACACGCACACACACCTGAAGAAGAACAACACGCACACCTGAAGAAGTACAACACACACCTGAAGAAGTACAACACACACCTGAAGAAGTACAACACACACACCTGAAGAAGTACAACACACACACCTGAAGAAGAACAACAACAACACGCACACCTGAAGAAGTACACCACACACACCTGAAGAAGAACAACACACACACACCTGAAGAAGAACAACACACACACACACCTGAAGAAGAACAACACACACACACACACACCTGAAGCTGTAACAGCATTGACTGGAGGCTTTATGTTTTCACACAGTCTGCCTCCTCGTGCTGCTCACGAGGGTTTGTATTTCTGCCCTCAGGTCACGTGATGCTGACATCAGCTTAGACCAATCTCCATTTAGAAACCTCTAAACTGAAACAATTCCTCCCCTAACAACACCACATGTATCTTAACAACGGTCAGGAAGCAATAAATCATATCAAATATAACTTGACTTCACTACGGCGTTAACACTACCGATCAATTCACATGAACACGTGCTTTTTAAACGTTTGTTTACTCTCGCTGCACGGCCGGTGCGTCACATTCGCCTCCAGCAGCGTGTTACATGAGAGGACATGTGAACGCAGTCTGGTGTCAAACATCCCGAAGACAGCGTCGGTCCCTGAGGAGCGTTGATACGGAAGCTTCGTGAAAACTCACCTGCGCAGTCATGAAGAAGTCCGTAGATTCTGAACATCTGAAGAAACGTCCCCCAGAACGTCTGTTTACCAGCTGGACGTCACTTCCGGTTCCGCTTCTTCTTCTTTGACGTTTTACGGCAGTTGACATTCACGACGCTACATGACCGCCATCTTCAGGTGTTATTCTCCCTCCGTCTCCATTCTTTTTTAAATAAATTATTATTTTTCCGTGATTGTGTCACAATGTAATGTCTCTCACGTGTCGTTTTCTCGCGTTGTATGACGAATAAACAAATAATAAGATCAGACGACGTGTTACAGCAGAGTAGTTCCGTAAAATGATGGTCTAGCAACCAGGAGCCAATCATTAGCCAGTGATGGAATCAGTTAACCAATCAGGAGCAGCGGCTTCGCTGACGCTGTCCTATTTTTCGCGATGCTCTCTGCTGTTATAAACGGAGATTAAATGTCTGAAACAAAAACATTTTTATTGGAATTGAACTGTCACACAATTAAAATTCTTTAGTTTCTGTAGAGGAAATGCTTCACCTCCATATTTTAAAGTCAACTAGCTAGGTGCTAAAAGGAAAGGGCTGTTGGCTTACGCTAACGAGGCTACTGCAAAGTCTCATAGACGAATGCTAAGGATGTTAGCGGTCTGCTAGCGAAAGCTTTTTATCATATTAAAATATCGGATGTGATTTTTTTGCCATTTTGTGTTGGCCAGTGTAAAGTTTAACATTATTTAGCCTCTCACGTAATCTTGAGTTTTATTTCCTCCAGTTACAGAGCAGCATCAGATTATTATGTGATTTTGCACTAAAACACCTTTAGATGATCATCATTGATGTCACTCAAAACCTGTAACAACTAAACAAGCAGGATCATCACCAGTCATCACAAACAACAACAACAACACAATGGCATTCAGAAAGTAGACTTAAAGAAATATAAACAGCACATTAGATGAATAGATCGAGTACTTTATTAATCACAATGATAAGTATTACAGATGCAGCAGTCGAGACACAGAAACAGAATAATTCAGTTAAAAAGCAAAACTATCTTCAAGAACCAAAATTAAGAATATTATTTTTTAAATGATTGAAAAAACTGATCATAGAGACTAAGAAGAGGACCAAAATATTAACTTTAACATTGCTACAACAAAAAAATCACCAGAGAACCAGAGAACATATTCTCAACAAAAAATATATAAAACTGATTAAAAACAACATACGTATAATGTATTGATGTAAATGTAAGAAAATAAACTTCACACAGAAAGACAACATCTCAACAATATCCACCAAATATCAAACAAAACTGTTTTAAAATCAGTATAAAGAAACAGACTCGACAAAATAAACATGAAACAAATCAATTCAGATGAGTCACATGACAAACACTAATAATTCTAAAAGGAAAACACATCTTAACATTAACATTTCCACAACTACTAAAATCACTGCAGATAACAAGTCGACAAAGCTTCATGTAAATACTGTAAAATAAAGAGTTTATTTAACTCATCTTCCTAACTGTTGTGGAAATTTATCATATGGTTCTTTTAGTTATAACTTGTATCAGTTAAACCTGCATATACCACCCTAACCCTCTTCCCACGAAAAGGCTGGGAACCTGGCCTTGGTGGGTGCAGCGGCCGACAACATCTGCAAGGGGGAGGGTGAAGGGAGAGGAGACGAGATAACGTGCATATATACTCTGTTTTGTCTTTTTATTGTTGTTAGACCTCTGAACCATCCGTGGGGAAAGAGCTCTATCCATTCAGCTGAATTATGATTGAAGTGTCTGTTCATTAAATATGTTTTTAATACTTTAAGAAGTTTCCATCGTGATTATTTCTCACTGGGAGGTTAAAAAGATTTTTTTCCACCACACTAAGTAGTTTAGTTGTCTGAACCTAACTAAGTTGTTTAGTTGTCTGAACTTAACTAAGTAGTTCAGTTGTCTGAACCTAACTAAGTTGTTTAGTTGTCTGAACCTAACTAAGTAGTTTAGTCGTCTGAACCTAACTAAGTTGTTTAGTTGTCTGAACCTAACTAAGTAGTTTAGTCGTCTGAACCTAACTAAGTAGTTTAGTTGTCTGAACCTAACTAAGTTGTTTAGTTGTCTGAACCTAACTAAGTAGTTCAGTTGTCTGAACCTAAGTAGTTTAGTCGTCTGAACCTAACTAAGTTGTTTAGTTGTCTGAACCTAAGTAGTTTAGTCGTCTGAACCTAACTAAGTAGTTTAGTCGTCTGAACCTAACTAAGTTGTTTAGTTGTCTGAACCTAACTAAGTTGTGTCCTGTGAACACAGAAGTTTATTTCTAACGAGCAGAAATTGAAAACGATTCTCATAAAAATTATGAATTGAGGCGTTTTCTTCACACTGCAGCTCATATATTCACTTTTCTCCTCTGAAGACTTTGAGTTCCTTCTTCATCTCCTCAACCTTCTCAATGATCTTCTGGAGCTGACCAGCTGACCGGTTGATGAAGCGTATTAACTCTGTGCTGTTTTCAGGCGTCTTCACTCCTTCTTTTCAGTTTGCAAACTGGACTACTCTCATCCTGTAACTCCTCCATGTCTGCCTCTCTGATCTGCTCCAACTCATCACATGTCTCATTTATTTTTTGCAGCTTGTTCTCCAGATGTTCAATCATTGCCAAGAATTCTCTCCTCAGTTGTTCTAATTTATTTACACTTTCTTTCTCGTGCTGTTTTGTTTTTTTGTTTGAAGCACCAATAACACCTCCTCCTGCTCCTGCTCCCATTAAGGTCAACCCCCCAGTAAATGGAGCTGTAATGATGCCGAGTGCACATGCGATTCCTCCAATAACATATGCTAATGTTATCTCTGTCTGCTTCTCTTTTACTTCTTCAGCGATCTCCTGGAACTCTTTCACAACCTGCCTCATCCTGTGTTCACTGTTGTCAAACACTTTGATGAACGAAGCCGCTTGTTTTGTGAGATTGTTCTTTAAAGGAGAAAATCTGCTCCGTGGTCTTTGTCTTCCCGGGTTCTGTGATTCATCTTCAGTGTGGGAGAATAGCGAACAATCTTCTGTTCCTGAGTCCGTCTCCGTAGAGCTTCTTCCCCAGTCCTGTGATTCATCTTCAGTGGGGGGGGGTAAGTTACATTATTTTTGTACTGGGAACATCATCGTGAAGTCTTCACAAGTTTGTCTCTGCATCGTCTGTTGAACGAGCTGAACTTTGATTATAAAATGCGTCTCTGTGGAGACAGGAAGAGACACAGATAGTCAGCATAACAATAAACACAGTGCAAAAGTATGAAGACATAATTCAAATTACAAATACAAAAATTGACAACAGAATGTGAGAAATATACAAGAATGTGTAAAACTATGTCTGTTAGTGTCAGAGCAATGTGTAGCTAACAGAGCTTGCGAGAGCAGAGCAGAAGGGCACGCTCACGTGCACTAAAAGGCTGGTTATGAACAAAGAGAGGAGAAGCTGTGATATCATCACACAGAGACGTGATTCTCTGATCAGTCACACTTTACTCCTCTAGATCTTTATGTAGATGATAGTTATTGATCATATATTAATGATCTCAACAGTCATCACACCATCAGACTCTCGCAGGTTTTCGTGAGGCAGGTTTTTTCACATCAAACACTTTCTGACTACGTGGATGGGAGGAGAAAATGGAGAACTTTGGGGAGCTTTGATGATGTCATGTCGTTGTGACATTATGTCGGTAAAACTCAACAAACATAAATCTCGACGTGACCGTTCTACTGCATTACTCAGTTTAGAGTTACAATTATCTTTGATGAAGTGAAAAACACACTGTGAAAGAGTAAAAGTTGTAAGAAGAAAACACCTGTCAATCACCGTGTAGCCCCGCCCTAAAGCATCCCCTGCTTTATGGTCTGTGTGACTCTAAATGGACCATAATGTACTAAATGAACATCATGCTGTAGTGAAGAAGACTTGAAACTAGAGATTGAGACCATAAACTCATGTTTACAATGTTTACTGAGGTAATAAATCAAGAGAGAAGTAGAGTCATTTTCTCATAGACTTCTATACAGCCAGAGGAGTCGCCCCCTGGTGGACACTAGAGAGAATGCAGCTTTAACACATGAAGCTCTGACTTCTGGTTCTTACCTCTTTGTATGAAGCAGCAGCACTGAGCACGCTCAGACTTCACCGTTCAGTCTCAGCAGAGGACGTCCACTTTCCGTCTGTCCCGTCAGCTTTTTATCCATCTCAGAGTTGTTTCTCAGAAATCATATGATCAGAGCAGCCAATCAAACAACAGCTGGGTCCCACCAGAGGACAGTAACTGATTAACTTTATCTGACACTCCTATAGAGAGATAAAATTATATAAATGAATAATAAAAGAATAACTAGAAGGATAAACAGCGTATCTCATAAAGTAATACATCATTTGAGTATCCGCCCCGTGTTCCGGACGCTACACCTTCCACCGGGTTTAAAGAAAATCAGGTCGGTATAGTTTTCCTGTAAATCAGCTGACCTCATTGGTGAAGACCAAAGAAACAAGACGACAGAGGACAAAATATTAATAAAGAAATTAAAAAGTTCAAATAAAAAGTCTTGGAAAAAAACAAAAACTGAAGAAGATAACGTTCTTTGGTTTTACTTGAATGAATTATTGATAAACCGTGAATATAATCAGGTTCATGTGAACAATAATGTTCTATAGCCACTTTGTGTGAGTGTTTTTAAGCTGAAATGAAGAATCTGGTGAAACAGAAGTTGTGTTTTGAATGATTTCTTTTCTCAAGAAGAGGCCCAGTTCTACAGAGTCACAGAGAGTGTGTAGAAGTGAACGCTCCAGAGATAAAGTCACACAGAGTCATATAGAGAGTGATCAAGGGTGGGGGGGCTGCATACTGGAACATCAGCCCCAGACTAGAGCTTCATCTGCAGAACAACAGACGCACTGATGTGTACGTTTTATCCATAAGGGTTAGAACATGTGAAGTGTTGTTCAACAGCAAGAAGAAGAGGATGTGTGCAGGCAGTCAGCTGCTGCATGGATCACAAGTGATATGATGCAAGCTTGGGATAGTTTGCACAATGACGAGTTATTAAACAGTTTACTTATAAAATTATAAAATACTGATCAGAATATAGCATTTCCATTACACAACTGCAAGATACATCTGAGCACGTACGTTAACACAAATGGTGAAGATCTACTGAGTTCAGAGCAAAAGTACAAGTACATAAGTATTTACACAATATACTAAGTAGAACTGTACCATCACAGATCAGAATACAGTAGAACTCTGAAATCAAACTGATTCGTGTCGTCAAACTTTTAATAACTAACAGACAACAAAGAGACGGATCTGACGAGTTCAGCTTGTGTTAATATATATACACAGTATATATATATATATATATATATATATGTGTGTGTATGATCTGTTATGTATATCAATATATTTATATGTCAAATATATAAAAGACAACAATAAGTAAAGTTATTTAAAGTCTCTGAAGCTCTTCTGATCTATAAAATCCTCCATCAGGACCTCAGTTCGTGGTCTTGTGGACTTAAAGTCTCTGTTGTGTGTTTGTGACGAGTTCAGATGTAACTGTGTTGAAGATGATGCTCGTTGTGAAAAGAGAGTTCATCACTGTTCTACCAGCCACAGATACACAATGTTTGCTATTATCTTATTATTCTCTGACAGCCGTCTGGATGTGAAGAGAATTAACAGCTGGCTGTAAAACTTTAACCAGGAACTGAAACCAATAAAACAATTAAACGTAGTGATGTAATATTTAATCTCTCACTGATGGACGGAGACACTGAAGTTATTTTATGAAGGCTGGAGACTAAAGAAACATCTGCAGAAAAGCTCTCACCAAGGAAAATTAAACAATCATTTATTTTGTATTAAAACCATAAATTTGTCCCAAAATAAACTAGAAAACCAAAACATTTTAACAACTTCATGAAAGTAAAAAATACATTTTTCATTTTCAGATTTGTTTCAACAACAAACATCTTCATATAAAATATATATAAAGAAATTCTTGATTAAAAAAAATACCCAGAAGATTTAACAGTTTTTCCCAAAATGTCTCTTTCACAGCAAATTATATTAAAACAAATATTCAACATTTAACGAGTAAATATTTAAAACATGTTAAATATGTGCAGTCTGGAAACATTCATGTACAATTACACTAAATTACAGTTTACCCACAATTCCACATTTTATGAACACGCACGCACACAAACAAACAAACAAAAAGTAGTTTTTGTTGCCATAGCAACTTCAGTTTAAATTTCAGTGTTTTCTCTCTCTGACCTTTGACCTTTAGAAGGACCCGTTTTGTTTTTTTTACCTGTGAATTATTATTTATATTAACATTTCTATAATTCACAGTAGAAACATGTAAAATATTGTCACATTAACAGACATCTCCAGCTTAAAAAATAAAAATCAGAAAAAATATTTAATTCCTTCATTTGTTACATTTTATATTTAATATTTTGTCAATTTATAATTATTAAAAATAATTTAATTATTTGTGTCTTTTCCCTTTTTTATTCATGTTTTTTTAACATTAACAAACCTCCATGTTCAACTGATCTTCATCTTAGCTGCTTACTTTACATTTAAAATGTATAATAATCTTTATCTTTTATATTTAGACATAATGTTTGTTTTCATGTAGCTTCTGATTCGTTCGTTCTTGTTATTTAGTCGATCTCGACCCGGAAGGCGCTGATTTCCATTGGTCGCAGGCTGGTGATGCGCGGCGGCTGCTGTTGCCGGGCGGATTCCGGTTCGTCGTCTTCCCGCAGCAGAGTGAGACCGGACCGACGGACCGACCGGAACCGGAGAGGAGAGAAGAGATTGTCCAAGTTCACCTGGAACACAGAACAGGAAGTCCGCTCAGAGACAAAACTAATTAAAGAACATTTAAAATGTAATTACCTAATTCTAGAAAAATATTTTAATGAAAATAACTAATTTAAAACAAAGGAAAACAATTAAATATCAACAGCATTAAAAAGACAAGAACACATTAAAAACAAGTTATATATTTATGTATTTTGAAAACATATCAATAAAAAAAGGAATTATGGCTTCAAGTAATTAATACGAAATAAATAAATACTATGTGTCATTCACCTCCTCGTGCGCGCTCCATGTGCACTCCAGTGATAGCTCGGGGGCGGAGCTACAATCAAAGCCCTTCCTGTGGAGGAGTAGAGCCACTTCCTGTGACGGACTTTCTGCTTCCTGTTTGTCCACAAACACAAACAAAACATTCAATTTGTTTGTTTTGATGTTGATGAAACTTTAAAAACATCACAGTGTAGTTACACTGTATCACCAGAGGAGGCGCCAAAGAACCAAACAGAGATCTTGGAGAACTTAAAGTGTCATAATCGATGATTAAAATAATGGACAATTATAGTTTCAGGTGTAATTGTTTTTTCTGTGACTTTTTATCATAAATATAAATATTATACATTTACATTTATTTAAATCTGCTATTGAAGTTTTCCAGAGTTTTTTGTTTATTTATTTGTTTTAATTAATCAATATATTTTTAAATTGTTGAGGTAAAGTCCTGAAAACATTTTAGCACTGCTCCAGGTGTTTCCAGGTGTTACCTGCGGGTCCTCCAGCGTCCTCAGGTTCAGCAGGTGAACGTCACACGGCAGCGACGAGCGGAGCGGCAGGAAGGGGCGGAGCTTCGGCACCTGGCTGTCGCTATGGGCGACCATGCAGATTGGCGGGTGGCTGAGGGAGAGCGAGGTCAGGTGGGCGAGCAGGGACAGGTGTTGAATTGAGGCTCCTCCCACTTCCTGTCAGATCATCATCAAATCATACAAAAGAGAAAAGAAAAAACTGAACATACATACACATACATATATATATATACATACATATATATATATATATATACATACATATATATATATATATATATATA